AGTGATCACAATAAGATAAAAGAAATTTTACAGAAATGGTCAGTTTCTGCTACCTAAAACAGAAAATTTTGATCAAGTAGTGAAACTGGGCCTTTATTCTTATTCAATATTATATTAACAAAATTAATCCAACGGTAAGAAGAACACTCCAAAAATTCTTTTGGAGTTAGATAATTTACTTTTAACTTGAAATAAAAAACTGCATTATAAGAAAATTTCGTTTTCATCAATGAAAATCCTTTACATTTGTGTTCGAATTGAGTTCAATTAAGAATATAATGAATAAAATGAAAGCCAGAACTTGGAAGGAACGATTGAAATCTTAATTTGAAATTTTATTGTTTGTTGAATATTGTTTAATAAATCAATTGTTACAATTTATAACCGTTTAGTAGGATTTTCCTTTATAAAGAAAAAGAAATTAATAAAAGAAAATATTTATCAAAATCTACAAACTTTTAAAATTTGGGACAGATTTGAGTTGCAGAAAAAAGTTGCTTCATAATTAAACGAAAAACTAGTTTTAAATTAATGTTAATTTAAAGAATCAATTAAGAACTGGATCAAACTGCTTATAAGATTTTACGATAGAAAAATTAATTCTAGACCAAACCTTTTTGTGTTTAAGGAATTTGTATAAGATGAAATGACAAAAGGTAAAGTAAAAGGCATTTCAAGCCTTTTATATTTTCTTACATTACATTTTACATTACTTGACGAGGCTAGTGGCAAGAGGATAGCAAAATGCAACTAATAAAGTTTTTGAGTCTTAAAATTAATTATGTGTAAAGTCTCTTTAAAAATCTAGTAACCTTTTATCAATTAACTTTAGTTTTCTAATACGGCATACAAATATGTATGTATGTAAATAAATAAGTCATTCCAAAATGACCCAAACATATTGAAATATAAGAGTTGAAAAAAAAATATATTAAAGAGTTTTTAAAAAATCCTACCCAAAATATTTGCAATATTTTCAATTTTTCAATAGAAATCGAATTTTCTGCACAGAAATCTTTTTTAAAGCTCAAAAAGTTCTCAAATATCAAATAGATTTCAATATTAATTTTAGTCCTTTTACATTTTTATTATGTAAGGACGAAAAATGTGCCTCCTTTTTTTTCATTTTATTTAAAAATGTTAATTTAAATTTTTCATTAACCTTACTTGTCACGTAGCGACTTCTAATACTCTTTTATTTTATTCTATTGCATAAATTGTGAACTTTTTTTTTAAATACTTTGGCTTAACACTTTCATGATTGTTCTGTCTAATACACTGTATAATTGTAAATTCTCTACTGAAAAGAAAAGGAAAAAAGAGAACGAATTTGTGCACCTTGAATGTAAATATAATATTTTTCTTTTATTTAAATAAAATTTTTGTGAAAGGAGAAAATTCTTAAATTTACCAAAAATATTTGGCTTATTATTTCCAGACAAATAAACTAGACGGTTAAATTTAAAATAAAATTAACTTTCAGTTTTATTAGTCTTGTTTGAAAGTGTTGAAAATCAAAATGGAAATGAAATTTAAAGCAATCAACAAAATTTACGATCTTTTCAACCTTAGGGTCAGTCACAACAATAATTTAATAAAAATATTCTTTATTTTAAACGAAAATTTTATAATTTGGTCGGAGTCAAATTATTTAATAAGCATTAGTAAATTAAAGTTTTCCAAAGTTTGAAGACTTTTAAAAGTTAAGCAAATCTTGCTTGAATTATTAAAATAATTGTATGTAGGAGCGAAACATATTGTTTATTCAAAATTCTGAATTCTTAGCGTTCTTAGAAGACAGAGATTTGAAATTTCAATTTTGATACATCAACTTTCTCAAGTTGAAATTAAAAGAATAAATTTGAATATTTTGAATTTCTATAATCAATACCGAATATTTGACTTTGACATAAATTGAATAGATTGAGATGAGCTGAACTTTGTACAATAAAAATTTTCATTTTTATTTTGTGCATTATAAACGCTTTTACTTTCTTTCATATCTACATTTTTGAGCAAAATTTCCGTAAATTGAAAACAAATGAGTCCTTTACATTTCTATACTATACTGAAATTTTCTTATTTACTTTTCCAGCAAATTGGCTTTTAAAGACAACAATTTTTTTTTAAAGAGCTTGAAAATAAAAATGCTATAATGTAGAAAGACGCATTGAAAATGAAAATGAAAAAAAAAAACAAAAAAAGAAAGAAGTAAATAAGAGTATTTTTTATTTTCTTTAATTTCACTTTCTCAAAATATGCTTAAGTTTTCATTTGTCACTTATTATTTGTTGTTGGAACACAATAGTGGCACGTAAAATTTGTTATCAAGCTAAATTTTTCCTCACATATTTAATCTGAGTGTACACATAAAGGATTTTCTCTTTTGAAAATTTGAATAATGCATTCTCTTAAAGTAGATATGACTACTAAATTATGAAATATGATTTGAACTATAAATCCTATTAAGTTTACAGTGTTTGTGTTACGTGGTTAAGTAACTGTAAAAGTTATTTTTTCAAATTTAAAAAGTTCAAAATACTTCATGTGCATTATAAGGGAAGAGTTTTTTGTTTAAACAAAACCTTTTTGATAAAACGTTTTATTTTGAAATTTTTTTCTCGAGATCACGGAAAATTTTGAGGTACTTCTATTAAAATGAGTAAATACTTTAGTTGGAACTATTTGTGTAAAATTTTTTAAGTAAAAAATTCATAATTTTAGTAACATTTGAGTAATAGTAATGCTTTGTGGTAAATTTCCTTGAGAACTTAAATGCGGGCTTATATAGTTTGAGTAAGTCACTCGTATTGTATCCTTCATGAACTCAACTAACTGTAACGAATATATATTCTTTGAACATATATTCGAATTTTAATATATATTTTTGTTTCCAAATCGGTTCAATGTCGTATTCTTTGAAAAAATTAAATTTAAATTTAATCTAATTAATGTTGGGTGTGAAGCCTGCTTTTATCTCTGTAATTTATAAATTCACGACAACTTTTTATCGTTGAGCTTTTTTTCAATAGTTTTTAATAATTTTTGGCAGGTGTCGCACAGTATATGTTATGTGATATTTACGTAGGTCATATGATAAAAGCATAAAAACTACTATTGCAAAATTTTTTTGTCAAATTTGACTTTATAAATTGGAAAATTTTTGCTCAAAAAAATAAAACGAGTTACACAAATTTCTTATATGGCAAATCATTTACAACAACAGTTGTACTATTTCCTCCTAGCACTTTTCCAAACATTTTTGAAAAAAAGTATTTAAAAGTTGCAATTTGACATACTCCTTAAAATTCTTATCTTAAAATGCCATTTTTTCATTATTTATTTTAAACAAGCCACAAAAATATTTTTTTTAATTTCGAAATAAAAAAAATATTGGTTGGCTTTTTTATCACAGAAAAATATGGACTGCATAATATGCTTGAGTATAGAAAAGACAAAATTGAAAAGGTCGTTGAAATTAACCGTTATCTGAAAGCCGTTTCTTTTTAAATGATCTTAATTTTTTTTCTTAACTTCGAATTCGACCATTATGTTAAACGGCTCTTTAATTTTTTTTTGCTCATCCTAGATACATGCAATTCTTTGAAATATTTTTCGGCATTATAAATGAAAGTTCATTTATTTTGATTTTCATTAATTGTTTTTAAGAGCAGTATTTCCACTTATTCAAGCGAAAAATGCTACTTCACAGAACATTATATAGTCTGCTAACATAGTTTATAAATATAGTCTGCTAACATTGCAAAAAATTCGCAAGTAAACAAAGGTATAGACAATTTTATGTAAGCGAAACGGAAAACACCATTTTACTCGCTTACTCTCAATCAATTCGTCCTTTTTATTAGGACTTTTCCATATAAGCTTTTCCATATAATTTTAGCCTAAAATAATTAAATTTTCAATTATAAGCAACGTATATCAATAGGAATCTTTTAAATAGCATTCAAAATGAAAAATTTCATGGAACATCAACATTTTTTTAAATTATTTTGATTGAATTTGATTTTTTATTTAATACGCGAATTTTCTATTTATTAAAAACCTACCATTTTATATAATGTTAAAATGAAATTCATATAGAATATTTTTACAACTCTTGCTAATCCAGCATCGAAAATATTAATTTAAAAACAAATGCTAATAAACTTTTATAACATGAAATAATTTAATAAATCGATTCAATTTTAAAATAATTTCAAATAAAAATTTCAAATTATATTTTTGAAAAACCTACAATATGTACAAATACACCTTATAAAACGATGCAAACAATTGATTAACAATATAAAAACTCTGATCACGTGCCCTCCATTCCGCTTAATAATAAATGAATGCCAATATAAGATTATTAAAAAAGATTTTTTTTTTCGATAAAATACAATTCTCACGCTTATATCCTCATATAGGCTGCCACGCATATAGAAACCAAAATATTTCCTCGTTTTGAAAAACATGTGCTTTTCATTTTTATTAACATTCGAGTTTTTCTTTATTTATTATAGAATAAAAATATTCTTCGATTTATCAAAATAACGAAAAAATCCTTTTTCATTTAAATTTTTCTGCTGCTTATTTTCTTATAACGCTACTCATACATATAACCAGTTACCTTTAGAAACAATTTTTTGCTTGTAGAAAAAAAATAATTTTAGATAAAGAAACAATTTATTTTGTTTGCTTCCTTCTTTCCAAAAAATATATGTTTATATATATACATAATTCGAGAAATATATCAAATTTGTAATCTTAAACCAATTTTATTATCAATTTCCCAGAAAAAAAAAATCAGAATATTCTTATGTGGTTAGGTAATCGTATGATATTTTCATCCTACACCAATGAAGTTAAGATAATCATCACAAGAAATAATATGTGAATATTTTGACTTACTTAACTCTTGTCTAAGTAATTTTTCAAAAATTTCTTTTTTTTTTTTTATTTTTCGAATTTGTTATTATAATATATTGTATAAATTTTACCTTGAATTCATCCAACAATATATGATTGGATTATACATTGAATTACTCATAGCCAACCAATAAAATGCTAAGTAAAGTTCCTGAATAAATGATGATCTAGTTATGTTAGGATAATATGATGTAACAATGAAATAAACATGAAATGGAAGCCAACATACACCAAATATGAATACGACAACCATCATCATTTTTACTACCTGTAATGAAAATAAAATTTTTAAAGGAAGAAAATATGAAAATAATATTTTTATTATGAAAAAATTTTAAATTTCAAAATAAATAATAAATACAATAAAAATTATTAAAACTTTGATTTAAAGGAGAAGATCTTCCTTAACTTACTGTTTTCTGTTTTTAAAATTGTTCAGTTTTATGAATTTTTAACCAATTGCTCTATATGCTTTTGTTATGTAGTTTATAAATATAACTTATACATATTTTTCTCATATAATAAATAGAAAGACTATTCTCCAATTCTAAGACGCAACTCCAAACATTTTAAACGCAACTATTAAGAAATAACCGACTTGAATTTTAGAACTGAATTTGAACCAAAAGAAGAAACATCAGTTCATTTATGACAAACCGTCATATAGTTCGGGCACATTGAAATAAGAATCTATAAATTTTGAGTATCGACTTCCGGACCTAATATTAGAGACCCAGACCGGATTATACTAGAGTCCTAAACCTTCTGGTATAATCTTAAGCTAAAACGAAACTTGACAAATTTTTTTTGTCTGCAATTTTCAAAAAATTGTCAAAGTTTCCTTTTGCTTTATTAACTTTATTTATTGCATATCTCAAGGGGAAGATTGGTTATTACGAAAATTAGTGTGTCGAAATTTTTTTGTTGTGATTCATAAAACGAATATTTATTAACAGCCTGTGGCCAATATTTTTAAAATTTAAACAATTATAGTAGAATAAAAGTGCGACTATCTGCGTTTCAATTCGAATTCATTGGAATTTATTGGAAAAAACACATTATAACCAAAAAATAAATGTGTATTTAAGAAGAGTTGATAATTTGGCCGTTGATCCTTTCATCATAACTTATTTGCAAAGTGTTTTAGATTTGGAGAAGAGATCATATTTCGGGAAGCATTGGCAAGCCCCGTGGCTCTTCCAGAAAGCTCTTCTATTTTTGAAAACTACAGTTTCTTAGCTTACTTCTTTCGCTTGAAAACAATTTAATTTTTCTGTTACGACCGGTACATTTTTTGTTGAGAAATATATCTAACATGTTTTTTTCTTCCCTAAAATCAAATCAGAAATCATTTCTAAATATTATTCTAACTTATAATTTTAGGTTTATATAAATTTCTGCTTACACTATATTATTGTGCTGGTTGTCTATTTTGGGATAAATAAATTGTAAACTTATTAAAATTAACTTTAGTAAATCTCCCTAAAACATTTATAAACTACTTAATAACTTCCATTCATATTAAATTCTAATTCTTTTACTTTTTTCTCACAATAGGAATTTTTAACCAAAAATGTAATAATTCATATATTTTGACAATGATTTAAGAACTCAGGTGGTATATTTAAAACCTTTAGGAAAAAAAAAATGTATATATAGCTACTTGTAACAAATTTTATCCTTAAGGTAAAATCAAATTCATAAATCCCTTATAGAATATAATGTACCTAATCTTCTCTCAGAAATAAAATATCTAATATAAAATTTCCTATTTCTTGTACATTTGTAAAATTACATTATAATTGTAATGCTGGTACAAATTTACCCACACGGCAAAATTTTTTAATATTGCCGTTGACAAACATGTTTTAGTGGGAAAATTATGAGAGATAAAGAATAATATTATATGGATTTAGTTTTAGCTCTCATCGTAGAGCATCGAAAAAAAAACACAATAAGAAAAGTTTTTGAGAAATTTCGAGTTTTTTTAAACAAAAATTTCAAAAAAAAAAAACGAAAGTTCTGATCTTGACGAGCTTTATCTCGAAAACTATTTCTCAGACTGAATTGATTTTAGGACCAAAAGTAAAGAGCAATCAATCTCCTGTTAAACAAGCTTCCGATGGTTACTCTATGTCGCATGGTTATTTATATGCAGTTACTGCTTTTTTTTCTACAGGCTGTTGCAAAAACGGTTATACCTAAAGCACCACCCCTTCCCCCTTTTCCAACACATTTGAAAAAAACAAAAATTTAGCAGGTTTCATTAGTTTAATTCTACCCATTCGTCAGCGTGTGTACTTACAAATTGGCTTATGTAGCTTTCGTTTTTAATTAATTCTGCAGAAATAACTTCTTGTATTTATCATTCAAATTTTTATTAAACAAGACTTATAAAATTAAATTCTAATACCAACCAACAAAATTTTTGTTTATATATTTTGGCTTACTGGGTATCATACATTTTTACTCCTCCACAATAAAGCCTACAGAGCTTAAATATGAAAGTATTCTACAAAGTTAAGAAAAAATATTTTATTCTTTTATCATTTCTAGCTTTATATTTTGTATAACCGAACCGGTTCTTGATTCGCCTACACTCAATATGTATGTATATTTTTTAGAATATTATCCATATATCTATAAGTATAAATCTATAAAACGATATTATAACAGTAGAAAGAAATATTTTATATTACCGACAATGTAACTTAATTTTTCATGTGAAAATGTTATTTCTCTTTTTTCTTTTTAATAAAATATTCTACAATTTCTATTTAAATAGAAATATTATGAATATCTACTCATATACGTGTATATAAACTAATTTTGAACTTTATTCACGGATTATTTTTCATAGTACATGTAGGTACGTTATAAATAATAGAGCATAAATTAAGATGGGAAATTAAAAAGAAAAAGGTTGTGTCTTTATCAAGCGAGAATTTTTTTTCTGTAATTTTTTCAGACTATGAAATTAGAATATAAGGTGACAAACACTATATAATATGTAACGTCTAATTTAAAACGTTATGAGGTGAAATAAAAAATTATAAAAATTATTTTAATAAATTAATTTTTTTTTTGCCGTTTCGGGTAATAAAGAGAAAATGTTTTTATGCCATATGAGTTGATTTGATTATTTTACGTTACGCGATGTAAGATGATACAAGAAAATATGTAGGAAAATGTAATATGATTTAGTTAAAGCTTTTATTATTGAGTACGAAAAAACGTATATAAAAATAATTAGGATAACAATGATTACAAACAATAATATAAGAAATAATTTACAGTTACTAACAAATTAGTAACTACAATATTGTACAATCTGATTTTCTTATCTTAGTTATAATTCATTATTTCTCGCTTAAAATTTTTCTGCTCTTAAGTAATTTGGTATGATGCATTTTATCATTTATTTGCAACAATTTAAAAAATTTTCCAATACTTATCATGGTACTTGGTTTAGGATGATATCTAAGGTATGATTTCTAAAAACTTTGATTTATAATTTAAATAGCATTACAATATGATAAATTTAAAATTTATTAATTAAAATCAAATTTTACTATAAAGACCCTAAAAGTATGCAAATTTAGTAAATATTTCACGGTAATGAAAACGGTTTTGATAAGCAAGTTCGAATAATCAAAATATTCTCTTAAATATCACGAGTTTAATTTTACCCTAATAGAAATGCTATAAGTTTTATTTATAAAATATTTCATATGTTTATAATTAGTTTTGTTAAAAAATTGTATTAAACGATTTATTCTATTGTGGTTGAATATGATTTAAGGAACGGCAGTAAAAGACTTTGTTCAATAACAAATCTGTTTCAAAAAGAAGTCGTTATGCTTTTAGATCACCTAAGGAATCTAAAAAGCAATAAACTATAGTAAGAAATTATTAAAAGAACCCATTTTATCACAATAAAGGAGAACATTTAGTAGTCCATTCACAATAGTTTTCTAACTTCAGATCGGGCGTTGTAATAAAATTCATTTGCTTTGATATTTCGTTAACAAATTTGTATTTCAATTACATTTTAATAAATATATTATTTTTACATGTGATAAAAAAAGTTCTAATTCAAAATAATTCCATCTTTTGTCACTATTCTAAAAATTAATTTTAAGAGTAATTTTAAGGTAAAAAGTTGCACTTAAACTTTTATATTGTTTTTAAATCAACATAAAAATTTTGTTGAAAAAACTTTTGAATTAAAATTTTTTTTTGTACGTTTCTTAATTTAAATACAATCAAAACGATTTACAAATTCAATTTTCACGTAATTTTAATTAAAACAAAGTTTTTACAAAATTTAAAATCTCATTTTAAACCCTTTGAACAAATGAATAAAAACAATATTTAAAATAAATTCAATTTATTATCATAATAAAATATTAATATCCTTTTTTTTCCATAAATTTTTTTTAACCGGCTTTAAAAGGATTATTATAATTTGGAAAAGAGATTGTTTTATGTTTCCAAAAAAAATAAATTAAATATTCAGATAAAAATGCAGAAAAAAACCAATATGCTGAATGTGAAAATAAAAAACCGGGTCTAATATTTTTATTAGCACGATATTGTAACGGTAAAATTCACATTCTGTGGCCGGGCAACATTTAAATTTCAGCAAAATTTCTAAATTTTTTAATGCAATCAGAAATAGTTTTAAAATTTTTATTAATTTTTTAATAGAAAATTTAAATACAAAATTTGCTGCTAAGTAGCTATTGAAAAAAAACAGCGTGTTATAAAATAGGTCGAGGGGTTTATGGAACGAGCACATTCTTCCAGTACTTTGATTTTTAGAACGGCAGTTCAAAAGCGTAAACTTTCTTGTATATAATTTTAATATCATCAATTGAATTTTACCAAGTAATTAGTTTATGAGTTAACAGAATAAAAATGTAAAATTGTACTCGTACAGAAACCGATATAACAGCATAAAGATAGCCACAAGCCTATTGCTTAATCATTAATTCTTAATCTTCAGTACAAATCTAATAATCTATGCCTTTGCATTATTTTATAAAATTATAAAAATTTTCTTTGATTATTAAAGTCCAATGATTTTTTTGCCTTAACTTCTGGATCATTCAACCCTTTAAAATTTTATTATGCAAAAACGCAATAAAAATATTAAAATGAAAATAACAAAAGCGAAAAATCTGAATTTTATAAAGTTATAAACTTTTTTTTTATTTTTTTTTTTCTGGATATTAAAAACAATTTTTCCTTCGTTTAAATTTTGTT